TCCAAAGAGACTACTATTTAATTAGAGACTGACTGAGCAAAGAATTAATTACTTAATGTGATGTATATATTCTCTTCTTAGATCAAGTTTATATAGAGACTAAAAGTTGTTACCTAATTTGAATGACATTTTGAATTAATAAAAGAGATCCAAACTATTTAAAAATTGACTTTTTTTTTTCATAAAAATATTATTAAAAGAAGTTGTTACACTCTACTATAATCAAAGGCGCATTTTGACTCAACAGAGGTGAATTCAAGTGGTAAGCAGCTTGATGTCGTTTAAGCAAGGTCTCGGGTTCAAGTCTTTGTGGATGCAGAAAATCCTTGTTGGGAGACTCACCCACCACTGTCAGGTGTGCGAACCGGGTCGACCAACGAATTAGTCGAAGCATAGCTCCGGATACCGTGGTTGACTACCAAAAAAGAAAAAAAGGCACATTTTGACTAATTTTGTCTGCCTTTTTCACGAAATTCACGCTGGAAATTTCAAGTCTCGTCTTCCACAAAAACAATGGTCCCATAGAAAATATGGAGTAATAAACTTTATTTTATTATTCCAAATTTTATATTTGTCTTTATTTTCAACATTATACTAACCTACAATCCTCTTTGCTTTATTCAAGCGACTAATTTTAATAGACTATTTCAAATTTTGAGAAAATAAATACAACATGAATATTCCTACCTAATCTATTAATATATAATAAGGATTAACATAATTCATTTTTAGAAATACTTTCCCGCTAATTTCATTAATTATTATCTAAAAATAGTAAATTAGCAAAATCAATGTAATTAATGTACATAATCTTTTTAGTCAAATGTTTATGGTAATTACCTTTATTAGTTGAATTTAAATTTAGAATGATTTAGTTTTATGGAAACAAATATAGGGTATTATAAAAACTTTCGAAATCCTTAGTTTAAATATATAGACTTGATTGAGAAATTATATAAAATTAATCGTTAATTTTTATATCTATATTATATTTCCTGTATTGAGTAAAACATAATAAATTAATACTTATGTTATTTTTCATACATCTTTTTGTTTGCATAGAGTTGCAAGATTATATTTTTTTTCGTAGACAACATAACCAAATACAAAAATATAAATCTATACTTATATAAAAAGTCATCCAATTTACTAAAATTAGTAGAAAGAATAGTCAACTCATAATTAATTGCACATCATATTTATAAAGTTTTTAGATTTTTTAAATCATAAAATATGGTAGTATTAAATGTCCTTAAAATTATGAGTTTTGTTGAATTCATTTTTAATAAATCAGCATCGAAATTTATGTGTGATTTTGAAGTGAAAATTTAAAATTCAAATATATTCTCATTTTAGTTACAAGAAAATCGGGTTACATTCAACACTTGGACCAATTTAAAAATTATACCTTAAATGAAGAGATTTATAGATAATTGTTATCTCTACTCAATCACATGATTATTTTCAATATAAAAAGAATAGATTACAAATTAGTAAATCATATATTACCTAATTCAATATCCTAACATTAAGGACTAAATCCATAGTATTATGTAAATTTGTATCTCATATGATTATATCATTAAAAATATATTATAGTTATATTATCAAATCATAAAAAGATATTAATATTAAATCCATAGTGTAAAAAAAATAATTCATATAATTTTATAACAATTCTACTACACTATTTAACAATATTTCTTTTTATTATATAATAAAATAATAATTAAATATTATATGGTGAACAAGAATAAGTAACACTGTTACTTTCTCTTATATCAAGGGATAAATTTATATGTTAAAATAAAATTTTTATTAGTATAAATGTTTTCGTGAGATAATATATTAATTATTTTACAAGCTAGCCCTAACATGCTCATATTTAATGTTCTGGCTAAAAAACAATGTTGGTTAAAAGATGTGGAAAAAAACTTATAGCCCTATTGTTTTTTAGACTTAACGTTGATTAAAAGAGGTAGAAAATAGATAGGGATAAGCAAAACCGAGCCAAAACCAAAAAACCGCACCGAACCGAGCTATTCGATGCGGTTCGGTGCGGTTTTTGGTAAGTTCGGTTATCGGTGCAGTTTGTGTTTTGAAAAACCGCAAGTGTTTCAGTGCGGTTCGGTTTTCTGTCCAAAGGGTGCGGTTTTAACCGAATCGCACTGTATGTCATAAAATGTCATTTTTTTAAATAATATATCACCTTAATTTTTACAATTTTACTTATATAACATTCATTGGTGGTTATATTTTTTAATTTCGGTTAATCGAAAAACCGAACCGCACCGAACCGAAATGTTCTTTCGGTTCGGTGCGGTTCGATTTTTCCTTCTATAGCGGTGCGGTTCGGTGAAAAAAATTTAAAAATTCAGTTCTCGGTTTTTTTCGGTGCGGTGCGGTTTTTGACCGAACCGCATCGATGCTCACCCCTAAAAATAGATAATAACTCTATTACATTTTAGACTTAAACGGACAAGATTGTGAAAATAAATTCATTTAATATCTCTGTTCCGTGCATCGCACGGGGTACATACTAGTCAAAATATATACAAAATCAATGTTTAGTCATAAAAAATAATTAATTTGAGCTTTATTTTTTAAATAAAGAGAGATAATCACACTGAATAGTAGTTTTTCTTTAAAAGGATATTTGAAAAACCTGATAACAATGATAAGCTATATATAATCATGAAATTGAAATTCAAAAGGCTATGTAATAGTAACTCAAAATGATAAAAGGTCTACTACATGTATATTCTAAGGGCATGCTTGTTAAGATGGACAAGATAAGATAAATCTTATCTCATGATTGTATTTTAGACAATGACGGATCTATGAATTTCACTCAGGGGGTCCAATTTTTAATGTTAAATAACGAGCTTGTAGTTTAAGTCGAAACAATAATTTCATATAAAAATATATTTGCTATAATTATAAATATCAATATATGTGCCATCATGTTTTAAAAAACTTGAAATTCGTATCACCCTCAAACTTTTAAAAAAATAAACAAATCAAAAAAAAAAAGAGAGAAATTTGATGTATTTATAATTTAAGTTCAATATCTATAATTTATGGAAAAGTAAGCTTTTTTCGTTGAAAGATTGATTTAAATTGAAATTTTGTAGCACATTTATAACCGTTTTATTGATAAGAGCTTATCAATTGAGCATTTTTTTAAGAAAAAAATAAATAAAGTTTAAAATACGTGATTAAAAAAAAAGCAAAAATCAACATTAAAAAACGTAACAATCCAAATAAATACTCAGTTTATAAATCACAAAATCAATTTACATAAGAAACTGAAAATGTAAATCATTATAAATATTTCAAAACTTATTTGGAAATGTATAACATAACGATTGTTAGTACATTATTTAAAATTATTAATTTAAATTAAAATAGCATAGAAAATAAATTTTCATTATTAATATATTGTAAATATTTTTTGGCATTTCTATACATATTTTACAGATTTTTCTTTATATATATATACACACACACAGAGTTTGGTTCAAGTGAGATGGTGCTTAGTGAAAGAAATAAAAATAAATCGTTGTCATTAGATCATCCGATTTAATAGCTAAAAAAATGCCAAAATTACACCTTCATTAAGGGTAATTTGGACATTACCATTACACTCATCACCCACATTATCATGCCACATCATCTATCCCACACACCCAACACATGCATCCACACGCCACCGACACACCCAACACATGCATACACACACCACCGACATACACAACACACACACACACACACACACAAAACACGCACTCACAGTACACATATCATTTAATACACACACACAGACACAACTCAAACAGACACCACACGCACAGCCGGCTGAGATGAACCTCCAACCACAACATACCTCGCTGCCGGCCACCACCCACCAACAATCGCCATGGACGTCCCGCCACCACCGTGGATGTCCCGCAGCAGGTCACGTCAACTTCTTGGCGGACGTACTTCACTGAAGGTCAGAGATCACGGCGAGCCCAATGCGAGCTACCACACGCACATGCACAACAAAGTTCCACCGTTGTCGACGGAGGGCTCGCCATGTCTGACGTTGACGGAAAGGTCATCAATCCCGACACGGGCCACACCGGCATCATTGGAAGGTCCATCATGTCCTTTACTGAAGCTCGGTTGCTGGAAAAATGGATGAAAACGGAGTCTGGATTTGGGCCTCATTTTTTAGAATTAGATTATGATTATGGAATTTTTTGCAATTTTATTTAAATATATTTCAATTTAACCCATGGGTTAAATATGTAATTATTGAAAGTTAATAAAAAACGATTTCTTATACATGTTGTTATGCATATATAAATAATAAATATAATATTAAATAAAGTAATATAAAAATAATATAAAAATAAATTATAATAATAACTAAATTATATGATAAAAATAATAAATAAAAAATTATTTAATTATTTAACTTGATTTGATGTGCAATTATATAGATTAAAAACTAGTTTTCAAATACACATAAAATAACACGTTA